TGCATGGATGCGTGGAAGTGTTGAGGCACTTGTGCGCTAAGGTGCAGGGAGGAAGCGCTGTCTGAAGAAGAAGCTGCGCGAGAGGAAGGGAAACTACGCAGGCCGCAGCAAGCCATAGTTGCGCCAGGCAGAGCTAGTGTTAGTAGTAGTATTAGCACGGTTAGTGTTAGTACATCAGTGAGGGGCATTATGAGTAGATCCTTGTAGACAGGGAGTGTGGATGTAAGAAGAGACAAGGAGAACCGGGGCAGAGATCTTGAGAGAAGAGAACAAGGGAGAGTGAAGACAGATGGAGAGTGAAGACAGATGGAGAGTGAAGACAGATGGAGACATTGGTGATGGTGGAAACTTACCTGTTGGCGCCATTCTTGAGATCTGGAACAAGCGCTGGCTAAGCCAGGCTATGTATGTATGTTGGAACGAAGGAGAGACTTGTATACTTTGGGCGCTGGACTCTTGAACTTGAGAAACTCTTGTATAACGTGATTTTTGATAATATAAGCTGCGCTACTCGGTTCTTCTCTCATCTCAACTTTGAGCTTTGTATGAAGTTATCCTATCTGTGTTTGGTGACATGTGTGCATGCGAATGAGACAGTCCAGCAAGTGTGATTAGTCGGGGTCCTTGCAGATGCTGCAGCAGGCCGTTGAACATATTAGGAAGTCTCAGGATGCTATGATCGCATCTGAGAATAAGCATAGATGGCCCTCTAACTTTCAGGTAGGTGATAGAGTCTGGGTAAAGTCATCTGAACTAGGTCAGGAGATGGGAATATCCAGAAAACTAATGCCACAGTATTTTGGCCCCTGGGAGATCTTGGACATTGTAGGTGATCAACCAGATGGGCCTTCATACGTGATCCGTATTCCTGCACACCTACGCACTTACCCTGCGTTCCATGCTTCCAAGTTGGCACCTTTCGCTGCTACGGAGCAGTTTCCTTCAAGAAGATCAATGCTGCCCCCAACCATGGACTGAGGTGGCCATCGATCAGATTGTTGAGCATCGAATGATGCCTGTTCCACGACCATCAGGCAGAGGGCGCCCTCTTAAACCGAGAATGCAGTATCGTGTGAGCTTCAAACATCACCTCGATCCCAAGGAAGATCGCTGGTTCACACGAGAGGAACTCATGTGAACAGCACCTCAAGTGATTGCAGGCTATGAAAGAGAACGAAAAGGGAAGATGCCCGCAGAGTAAGAGACTTCTCAGAGGACTAACGAAGTAAAGGAGGAGGGAATGCGAGGATCAAGGTCCTCGATAGGCCTAAGGGGCCCTGTTTGCAGCATTGCCCGCCCTAAGTGAAGGCGGAGGTGCCCGCCCTAAGTGAAGGCGGGCCTGACATATCGCAAGAGGCCCCCTACTGTCAATTTCATATTTGGGGTCCAGGCAGTTGCRACGYGCCAGTTGGTTGAGAGAAACTCAGGCCGGGCCACAAAGACATTTCCACGGCCCTCTGGGCTTTTMCRAAGAATGCAGGCMCTGGGCGTGAATCGCAGCCTCATACAGAGACAGTTGGGCGCCCAACCGAACGAGGCCCAGCAGCCCAGTAGCTGCTGTACACAGGCAGCCTCCTGGGGCCTTCTGGAAGCTTCTCCGCCCAGGCCAGGGCAGCCAGGCAGGGCAAGCAGGCCAGCTCTTTCCATAAAGGAAAGAGCTCTCCGCTGGCAGGGCATTCGGTCACTTGMTGGCTGGCGGCAGCGCTGCTGGAGCGATTGCTCGCGGGCTGGCTGCCGGCATTGGAGCAAGAGGCTGCGCACGTGCGGTCGTGTGTGGGAGCAGGGCGCTGCTGAGGGCAGCGCCATAGCCAGCCTCCATAGCGGGCTCGGCTTGGATACACAGTGAGGCGCAGGGGTGGTCTTCGGGTGCAAGAGAGGACAGGTGTTGGTGTTAAGTCAGGGAAGGGCGAAGGATGATGATGATGATGATGTGAGGGCACATACCTTGTATTGGCGATAGTCTGCATTTGGGCATCATCTTCAAGTACTTTGGGTGGCCGCTGATGTCAACAGTTGCATTGTCTATTAGTAGGCTGATCGTAGCTGTGTAGGAGTAGGCTGGGCGCTGAGCGCCAAGTTGGAGTGTGAAGGGACTGGACTCTTGTGTTGCTGAAGGAGAGAGAAAGCTCTCCATTACATTGGTTTTCAGTACTACGAACCTCCATAGGTGTATTATTGGTGCAATGCTGCTCTCTGGACACAGTGTGACTATCTGGCTTTTTATGTGACGGTGTAATCTGGATTTGTCATCTCGCTGTTGCTTATTTTCCTTGCAAAAGCAACGGCGAGATTGAGGGTATCTCAGAGAACTTCAGGCCCAAGGGGGTGGCAGTGTGAAGCCCCAAGGGCGGGGAGCACGCCGTATATGGCCGGTAGGCCCTGTGTTCCTGGTCCATGAGGAACAGCCTTGCAGGCCGAGGAAGGGACCCTGTAAAACACTGCCTGGACGCTGTAGGTTTCGGCTGACTGGCCATGGTACATAGTCATGGCCGAGCAAGTCAACGGGCACATTCTGACAGAAGGTCTTCTGTCATTAGCATGCTGCAACGATGCGTGATCAGGAGGAGACCATGCGGTCGCCAGCGCCACACCAGTAGGTGCTGGGGAAGAAGGCAGGTGCCATAGCTGGTTGGGCGCCTTGTACACGAAGGTTTCGGTCAGATGGAGGTCCTTGGCACAGTGAGGAAGGTTGTGGATACTTACCTGGTGGTCGGCACGGAGAGCTCCAGTGGGGTCAGTCTCTTCAAGTGGTATTCAGCAGGAGTGGAACAGGGCTTGACCGCAGGGTGGATGAGTTAGATGGGCTAGACCACCGGTAGGCGGTAGTATCGGCTGCCACACTTGAGTTAGAAACTGCTACTCTGTTCTTGTATTGATCGAATGGAGGCGAGAATAGGGCATTCATAATCAAGAGACTTCAGTGTTGTGCGTGTTCTTGTATCAGTGTGATTTTGTCCTGTCCTATTCTTCCCTCGGTTTGGTCTGATCATGCATGCTGATCAGTGATTTTGTGTTGGCTATGAATTGACTTCTCACAGCAAGTTCCTTGCACAGAGTTGGGCTTTTTTTTTTTCCGCCCTCCACCCTCCCATCCGGCCTGCTTTTGTTCACTCACACCCGCCCTGATTGGGTGTGAGGGCGGGTGTGAGTGAACAAAGGCATGTGAGGACTTGATGCATGGCTAACACGAACTCACTGATCAGCATGCATGAGTAGACCAAACCGAGAGCAGATTATCCTTTGCTTCTTTTTCTGAACCCATCCTGCCCTGAATCTGTTTCAAAAATTTTGCCTGCATGCCAGGCCCACACCCGACACGGCAAAGAAACCCTGGACCCGCCCGCACCCATGACCAATTTTTAGACAC